CATGCCGAGTCGCTTCGGGCTCGGGCCATATAGACCGGGTTCAGGGTCGGACTCAACTCTCTCCTTTCATTGTGCCTCTGAACTGCAGGGTGAAATGATACGATCTTTAATGAGGAACATTTGAATTAAATGAAGAGTTTGAGCAGACACTCCTTTGAATGCGCTTCAGTTATAGCACTTTGGGAATTAGCACTTTGGGAATTGGACCGTTACTGTAGTGAGGCTCATTTGCAATCATTTTGTGGATTCAGCCATTAGAGTCCACAGCCAAGCGAGAAGCTCTGTGGTGCTGTAGTGCTTTGAGCTAATGCGAGCGTGCCAACACGCTCCCAATGACGATGCCAACATGCTGACGTGCAGCATTAACCTTTAAAAGGGTTCTTCCTGAGGAAAACATGTTCGACTCGTACTAAATTCCATGGCGGTTAATACAAAAGTTGTGGAGACATTTCACTCAGATGTCAACCTCATGGTGGCGCTCGAGGAAAAGTCATGTGATCGCCAATCTCGTTAGGATTCATCCTTTGGGGACCATGAATATCTGCATTAAATCGAATGGCTAATCATCCAAAGGTTCTTGAGATATTTTAGTCTGGACTCAAGTGGGGGATCAACCAACATCAACCAACATTAACTTACACAAGAAAATATGTTGTTTTTCTTAATCATCCGTTTCAGTTGGGCTTTTAACTTCTGAGCAAAAACGACTCAACCCAGGCGTGAGTGATGCACGTTCAGTCCTACAGGAGTCATGTGCTAGTTCGGTTTATTGGTTCTGGCTCACAGAAAAACACAAAGTTTTACTCCAACTGAAGGTGGAGGCTTAAAAAAAAAACAACAGCGTTTGTCCTCTGACCTACGGGGCTGTGGTGGAGCCACGACGGCTGCCAAGCTGTCAACCGCTGGAACGGCGCTTTAAATAACATGGAGACCACAGACTGGACCACAGCTGAGTCAGTGCACCGAGAAACGTCACAGGAAAGACCGAATTCCACACGGCGTCACGGAGCTAAAAAAAAAAAAAAAAAAAAAAAAAGACGTTCCAGAACAGACTCAACAAATCATCACAGACCTCATATCCTCACATCATGTTTACTAGCGTACAGCTGTCCGCTGAAATCACCATATGACAAACGTTCCCTGATCTGCCATCCCTCAGGGTTAAGGTCCGGTTCAGTTGAGGAACGTTGGCTTCATGGAAGAAAGAAAACATGGACTTTTGGTGGTAAGAAAAGGTCACAAATTATGGTTTCTAATGTCAAAGTCACAAACTATGTATGCAAAACCCTTCGCTACTTCCAGAGAGGGCACTCATTACTCACATGACCGCGAGAGGTCACGTGACACGACAATGTAAAAACAGGTTGCTTTACGACTTTATACAAACTATCAGTGCTGTCTTTCTGGTGAGAATATATCGTTTTGGTTATTTTTGCTCTGTAAACCAACATTAGGTTTAAATAAAACCATGACTATATGGTTTAATATGTCTGGTATGTATGGTCTTTACATCAATGAGTGTAGGAACTAAGTGTAGGTTCTTTTTCCACACGTTACATTATCTTTTCAAACTTATTTTGTCATGACTACTTTCATTCAGAACATGAATATGAATATTTTTTGTTGATTCTTTTTAGCTTTTCCACTGCGAATAAAGTCATCAAGCAGTCATGTTGTGCAGAACAGAAATTTAAAAGTAATTCCAGGCTTAGTATTCCGAACTAAGCCTGCAAATTTTATTACTCCTTTAAATATTGACAAAGGCAGTGCACACCAGATCCACTCCTCCAGTTCTTACCTTCCACAATAAAAAAAAGCCCTAGACATTGCATAACTGTTTATCGGAGGGAATTTAAATTCACTCAGAACATTTCGCTGGAAAGGAAACTCAATAATAACTATAACAGCGTAACGATTGCCACAGGAGGAAAGAATTGTCCTTTCACCATTTCACGAGAAAGATCAATCAGTCGGAAGTGCTGCTAAAATGTCAAACATCAACAGGGACGTCTGAACTAAAATAAGACTGGACTGTTTGAGCACGGTAACAAGATTGTGTTTTTCTGTTGAAGAACAGCTGACAGAAACAGAAGGAAGGCAAGTGGTAAACAGAAAAATAGAGGGAAAGGACTCAAAGGAGGCATTCGTCATATAAAAACTCCTCAAACCACCAGAAACAGTAGCTCCCACCCTGTCCACACACACACACACACACACGCACACACACACACACGCACACACACGCACACACGCACACACACACACACACACACACAGTGGAACATCTGACTCTGCCAATGTTGGGCTGTTATTATAGTATGCGGCAGAGAGCGGGGGAGAGAGACAGACAGGAAAAAGCGAGACAGAGACAGAGAGATGTGTGAAAATTGAGTAATAAAAGAGTCGGATTATAAAGAGAGCAACTAATTGCGGGTGTGTGCATCTAGAGAAGTGTGACGGACGAGGGCGAGGCAAGACAGAGCAAGGTACGAAGACGTTTATGGAACAAAGGAGAGGTGAGGAGGAAAGAGTAAGCGGTGAATACATATCGACCCAGAGCCTGTTGGGTTTAACACAAACTTAGAAAGACAACAATTTGTTTCCAGCCAGAAAAAAAACAATCTACGAGAAGAAAAAGGTGATTATTGTAGTCCAACTGATCAATACACTACACACCTTGAACGAGTAAGGTTCTTGTGTACGGACAATCTAGAGTACCAACAATCCATCTAAATCATCTCATTATGGAAGTTATATCTCCCTCTTCTTCATGGTGAGTGTGTGTTCAATAGTAGTACAGGTCCTTTAAAACACATTCATTTTAATACCTTCTATCAAATGACTTTTTATAACTCAAACAGAGAGAGGGTTTCTCCCAGAGTGGCGGAGACAGAAAGCACTGCCTCCAGTTTCGGCTCTCTCACATGTACACCGAGTTCCTCCTCATACACACTCCCCCCCCAGTTGATTGTGACTCAGTGAACGTTTCACAACTGGAACATGTCTGGTGCGTTTAATCCCCAGACACTGCACCACTGATATTCACCCACAGGGTTGTCATTTTTTTACATTTGAAACAAAACAAAAAAACAAAAAAAGTGCAAAAGCTCCACCTGTCAGGTGTTCAGCTTTGCTCCTGCATCATGTTTAGTTTGACGCACTAATCTGGTATTAGGAAAACGACAAAGCTCCGCTTTCAACACGCCCGATCAGATAACTCAATAAACAGCATTATCTCCACTCGCCTTCACTCCAAAACACACAAGGAATTGGTCGACTTCATGATAATAAATCCCTGGAGGGCCTGAGGAGCCATGGGAACAGAACAAGAAGAAGGGGGCACCACCGCCCGTCACTTTGATGAGGAGTACTGGCACTCTTACTACTGGCAAAAAAGCCCCGTTTATAGTGTAGTATAGTAGCAGCACTGTCCTGTATGTCGCCAAGTACTTATTCCCTTGTCACATTACAAAAGAGCTTGCACATTATAAACGGTAATAAATGGAAATCACTGAAAACGACTGCATCCAAGAAATACAGCTCGTAGTGAAAGTCGGGCTTTGCTGTGTCAGCATATGAAATATGAAACGTATCCAAAGAAAATGTAGGAACTTTTCTTTTTCTTTGATGTTTTTCAGGAAAAACAGAAGAGGAGGATCCAGAAATAGCCAGCTCGAGTCTTCTGAATCCTAGTAACAATAAACTGGACGAGAACAGCAACACACCCACAGAAAAAAAAGGCTGGAAAAATTCATTATGATGTTTTCATTGGACAGGAGGAGGTGTGGAGAGCAACATGGACATGCAGTGAAACAAAAGTTATAGTATAAGAAAGCTCTATGTGCATTAGAGATTATTAGTATTAGAGATACCATTTTTTGGCCATTCTGATTGAGTGAAGAAGAGTCTGTGTGTGTGTGTGTGTGTGTGTGTGTGTGTGTGTGTGGTGCTGACATTTAGAGGCCGGGTCGTGCGTAGGCGTGGGGTTGCTCGGTAAAAAGGCCACACTGTGTAACGCCACAGTGGGAGGCCATGAATGACATCTGTGTGGGTGTGTGTGTGTGTGTGTGTGTGTGTGTCGACTGGGAATAGGGAAGTACTGTAGTAACATTGGAGAACAAGCAGTGTGGAAGCAGGACCACCAAAACAACTGCTACACCAAACTCTATTCAAAACCTGTGAATTTTGATGTTTTGTTGTTTAGTTGCAAATGAACCGGTCTGACAAAACTTGGCAGAAGACCTTTAAACAAAGCACCAGGAGTCACTCTGTAGTTCAGCAAACATCCAATTACCAAATTCAATGAAGTTTGCCCCGTTATAATTGGTTTGCCTGTTGCTCCTGTGGCTTCTTTCAAACACATGTACTGAATCACAAAGCAGTAAAGCAGCGCCAAGAACGTCTTAGACACAGGACGAGTGCCATGACAGACAAAGGCTGGGGAAACCCTGCCGCTCAGCAACTTTAGCCTCAAGTTTAACCTCAAGTATTTTAATATTTCATTTAATGATTTAATCAAGGTGCAGTCTAGAGTGCACATTTTGCACTTTGCCTTCTGACTGATTGTGAGTTTAAAGATGGGCTTACTTGGATGTTAGAGGCCGGTTGGTAGGAGGCGTCGGCACAGACGCCTGCACACAACCTGAAGAGGTTTTTCATCGCCGACTGCTCCTCTGTTCACAAGGTAACATCGCTGGATTCTTCTCGTGTACACACACTCACACACACATCAACCACACACTTAAGCCTAACCTTCATGTGACGTTAAGGATAAGCTCAACGCATTGATGGTGCTGCATGTAACGTGTGTAAGAGAACGCACATGTGCACAAACGCATGTCTTACTGCCACTGGCAAATGCACAGCCCCTGCTTCGGCCCCTTGTAGCTGCATGGGAGACCCTGTAGCGCTGAGACAGCTGTAGGTCATCAGCTCATCAAGGACAGCTGCCTTCAACTCCTCTTCCTCCCTTCGACACATACAAAGTGTGCGTTTCCTACCTTGTCGCTGTCTACAGTGTTCTGGGACGTCCTGGATGCGATGGAGATGGTGTCCGGTTGGCTGCTGCCGTCTCCCTGACTGTCTCCGTCTTCACCTCCCTCCCTAGACACACACACACACACACACACACACACACACACACAATCAGAACATCTTCGTTCAAATCACTGGCAAACCCTTTCCGTGTGAGAATGTAACAACACCGTCACCTCTGATGGGACAATATCACCGCTCGTGCTCACGCTGTTTTTAAATCTTAGAAAGATTTTATTCTGCTGAGCCGACTCTTTTTATTTTTAACCACGGTGATATGGTTCCCTCCCGCAGTGCCGCCGTTTACAGTGATGCCGTTTCTAGTTGTGGCAACAGTAGATGTAGAAAAGTCCCAAATCCCAGGAACCCCTGGCTGTACATTACCCTGAATTCACTCAATCAGCGACTACGTTTACATGCACACAATATTCCGGTTCATGCCCTTATTGCAAAAAGACAATATTCCCACTAAGCTGTTTACATGGCTAATGAAAGTGAATGTACCACTAATAATTAACGCCGTCATGACGTAGGCCATGTCCTTTAAAAGGTGCAGTGTCTAGGATTTGTCAACATCTGGTGGGGAGGTTGCAGATTGCAACCGACTGAAACTTTTCCTCACCACTGCGGACGCACCTCACCGATGGTGTTCAACCGGGTATTGTCTGTATTCATTTAGCCCAGATTTCTCATCACGATCCGATTATGAACCTAAAAAAAAAATCACATTTTCTCATAATGAGTGTAAATGACGCGTGTGTCCTTGTTTACCTCTTCGTGTTATTCCTGGGTTTGGTCAGTGCTGGTGTTTTCGGCAGATGAAGAGGCTCCTTCAGCGGTCCCTTCATGTGAGTCATCCTCTCCTGGATCACCTCCCTGATGTTTTTAATCCACTCCTGTTTGGCTTCCATATTGGATGCCTGGAGGGGAAACAACAGAGTAACTGTTATTAAAACACAGTAGCACATCTTTAATTACAGCAAACCACTGTTTACACATCTAATCAGACAACAGCATTTAAGTAAAATGTTTTACTTGCCTTTAGCACCGTTTTATTATCAGAGGAGGGGGTTCTTCCAGCCCACAGAGCAAATTTACACGGATCACCCTCAATGTGCTCGGTCACTCCCAACTCCGACGTCTGCAGGGCAGCGAGGAGGGAAAAATACACAATTATCACAAATGTGAGGTAGTGGAAGCCAACCATCTGTTTGATTAAAACATAGTATTTATTTCCCACATGCAAACACACACACACACACACACACACACACCAGTAGTTTGTTCTTGTACTGGTATTTGGTTCTGCCAGCCGAGTCTTTGATCTCCTTGCTGAAGACCAGGGAGAACTCGAACAGGAAGAGGTGTCGGTCCCGCCCCTTCCTGATCAGCGAGCGTGGATCCCAAACCTGGAAACTGTCCTGCAGGATGAGCTCGCCCTGCACCTCCAGGTTTTCCTCAAAGCCTGAGGAGGAGGAGGAGGACCGAGACTTAAAGGGGAACAACCATGAAAAACTACCTTTCCTACGTCACATGCAGGGCTCATTAGAATATACCGGCCAGAGTACTCCATCATTTTTCCTGCAAACCAATCAGAGCAGACTGGGATATTTTGGGAAGGGGTCTTAAAGAGACAGGCACTAAAATGGAGCGTTTCAGACAGAGGGCTAACAGGTATATTCAGACAGACAGTATGAGAAAAATAATGTGTTTTTTGAACACATTATGTGTTCAATAAAGCATGTTAACATGTTCTAGTAGGAACCCAAAATACAATAATGAACCTGAAAATCAGCATGATATGTCTCCTTTAATATCAATAAAGCTGCTCAAAGTCATTAGGTGGGATAGGAAATAAAACAAACTCATGATGTATTTTGGGAAATAATTAAAATGGATTAAAAAAAAAGATATTGATTAAATAAAAAATAAAGAAAAACACTTTAAGAGTTAAGAAATCCTTATTCAGACAAATCATCAACTATAGTAAGACAATAAGTAATGTTGACAACTTTAGCATAATCATACAGCAGTAGGGACAGTATCTTACCCTCCAACATGGCGAGGTGCATGGCATCATTAGCTCTCTTAGGAACACTGAGCATCACATCCAAACCGTCTTTAATCTCCCCTTTACCCTCCTCACAACATGACAGCAGCTCCTGCAGAGGGACACGAGAGGATATCAGCAGAGCAGGAAAACATCACTTACTTACAACATCATTCGTGTGGTCTGTCTCCACATTTAGACTACATATCCCATGAGCCCTGGTTGCTTCCTGACTCTCCCTTGGCTCTTCTTCTTGGTGTGTGTGTGTGTGTGTGTGTGTGTGTGTGTGTGTGTGTGTGTGTGTCTACCTTCAGCAGTAGTTGGTACTTGGTGATCCTCTGGACCGGTTTGATGAGGTAGGAGGAGATGGAGTTAGCCAGTCCACGTCTCTGCTGAATGTCCTGTTTAAAACACACAGAGACAACATTACAGCAAATGCTGTAGCGACATAAAAAAATAAATAAAATGCAAATGTCATATACATGTTAAATGGTCAATTCAGCACGCTGCAGCTGGTGGGGATCTAAACTTTAGTTTAATGACCAAACAGCACCACCTGCTGATGGAACAGGGCAATAACATAATCATCAGCACGTCCAGCTGCAGGAGGGAAGTACTTTCATTTAGAGGATTTAAAAGGTTACTTTGGTGTTTTTTAACTTATTTCCCCATGTTTTTTTTTTTAAAATTGATCCAGTATTGAGGGAGAACTCTGCAGATGGCAAACAGGCTGTAATGTAATCGCGCTGGGCAACACCTCACTGTCAATGTACGTCCACTAAAAGCGCTTGTGTTTGCCGCTATAAGGCTCAGATTGTTGTTATAAGTGTCTGACAACATCAAGGAAGGAACCCCACAAAAAATGGCCCAGGTTGAAAAATACTGATTTCAGAATGAGTCCGTTTTCTCAGACAGAGGCGGTTTCATGAGACATTTTTATTTTAAATTAGCTGTTTTTGCAATGAATAGATAGAAGGTTTGTCGTAGTATTGTTTACGTAATGATGTGAACGGATCTGTGGCAGAAGGATGAACGGTTTACTCACGTCGAAGAAGGTGCCGGCATGCTCCAGGATCAGCTGACTGGAGTCTGGTTTGTTCTTACAGTAATTCACATAAATGTGGAACTTATCAGCCTGCGGAACAGGAGAGGAGAAGGTGTTTACAATGATACATGATCATTTTGTTGTGCTCTTTTCAAGCCCACGCTTCTTATTTGGACAGAGAACGGAAGTCACTCTTCTGACAACATCTGGAATAAATGTCCGCCTCTCACCCAGGTGACGAAGCAATGACCGACATCCTCTGGAAGCTGCTCGTAGTTCACCAGCTCCTTCAGGAAAATACTAGAAACAGAAACACCAAAGCACACAGCAAATAAATCAAGAAGTGCACTTATTCTTTTATATAGTTTTTTATAAGTCGCTGCAGATGAAAAACAAACATTTCCTGATTATCCTGCTTCAAAATAAAAGTGTTTAAAAAAAAAGAAATTTTTCCCACATTCTTAAACTTTCACACTTACGAGCTTAGAGCTAAAATGGTTGTTGCTGTGCCGTGTGCTTGTTGCTAGGAAATTCCCACATATGTTCCAGAAAAAGGTCTAACGTTTCTGGAAACAAAAACTGGACTCAAGACTCAAAGAAACAATCTCTCACTTGTGGTGGAAGTCCCAGATATCCTGCATGTTGCCGAAGATGATGAGCTCCTTGTTGGCGATGCCTGGAGGAATCTCTTCCACACCGCTGGTCATCTCCAACAGGTAGGTCTGACACACAGACAGACAGACAGACAGACAGACAGACAGACGGGTCAGGCAGGCAGACAGGAAAATATTTGTTGTTTCAAAACAAAATGGGACAAGCTGAGCAGGTTTTCCTACCTCCAGACACTCCTGGAGGTCTTTGACGTAGGTCTTCTCTGTCTGCAGCAGCTCTGCCATGATAAACCTGACACGAGGAGAAAAAGTTCAGACTCCCAAAGACGAGATCAGATGGCATGAGTTATACGAGCGGTTCTGTTTCGTGTCTGGTTCTTCCGTGACCACATGAACCTTTTTGATGTCTGAGGATTCCTTGGATAAAAATGTAAGGCCAACCTTCAGCCTCATGGATCTACGCAACCAGGCACCGAACTTCGGGGAAGGCTACAAGACGCAGATGATCCCCGTTATCAGGACAGATTTAGAAAACTGGTTGAGTTGAATGACTGCGTGAGGGCTGCGTACGTATTGGTAAGAATCTATTGATACGATACGCATCATGATACAGGGGTTACCATTCAATATACTGCAATACTGAAAGCAAGGCGATGTATTGTTTTTGGCTGAGGAGTTAGAGAGGGTCGTCCGCTATTCGGAAGATCGGCAGTTTGATCCCCGGCTCCTAAAGTCTGCGTGTGACGTGTTGGGCAAGATGCTGAACCCTAAATTGCTCCAGAAGCCATCGGTGTGTGTGGGTGTGTGTGTGTGTTTGTGTGAATGTTAGCATGTAGTGTAAAGCGCTTCGAGGTCTCTCACTCTCTCTCTCTCTCTCTCTCTCTCACTCACTCTTTCTTCCTGGCAGACTTCCTCTTTTCCTCGTTGACCTCGGGGTTGGGGTCACGCAGTTTGACCTCGGGGTCGTCCGTTAGGCTGGCGGGGATGATGTCCAGCTCCAGGTCTTTATTGTCCTGCATGGAGGAACACCAAGTGGATTGTTGTCAATAATCGGACAAACAAGAACAGGATTAAAATGACCGACTGCGGTTCCGATTGTGTGGTCTCACCTCAGAGCTGACCCCCAGGCTCCTCTCCAGGCTCTCCTGGTATTTGCCCATGCGTAGCGAGAAGTCGCGGTACCTGCGGTCCACCGTGCTGACCCAGCGCTTCAGCTCCGACACGTGGGCGTGGCCTTTCTCCACCAGGTTGTCCGCCAACTGGATCAGCAGCTTCACCTTCTCCTTGGTTTGCTGCGGGAAGTAAACACACACAGATATGACATGCTGGAGGAGTCGCTGATGTTCTGTGTCCCTGCGTGAATAGAGTACATCGATCTATACATCTGTGATCTCGCTAATGTTGCTATTCCTAACAAATATCATTACCTGTATATCTCGTACTTATAATACATATTGGATTTAATTAAATATTATCCCCTCAGACAGAGTACGTTTTACCGGATTTTTGTAATTGTTTTCATTGAGAAAATGAAAAGAAGAAAATAAAAAGGTAGATTCGGCCCTTAGAGTGCAAAGCTCCTCAGGTATACATCTCAACGTACAGGAGTGTACAGTGTTCGTTATAATGAGTCTAAATATGCACAAAGAGATCCAGCTTTTACACATCACATTTACTGGGTTGATGTTCTCAGAGGTTCCTTTGAGGCTCAATAAAACTGCCAGCAGCTGATCCTCTGACACACACACACACACACACACACACACACACACACACACACACACACACACACACAGTGTACCTTGGCAGTGAGTCTGAAGTGACGGTAGTCGTTGAGGAGCTGCTGCGTTTCCTCGCTGCTTTCACCAGGTGACGTGTGTGTGGCCAGGTAAACTTCACCCGTCTCTTGGATCCAATCCAACGCCTACAAACACACACACACACACACACACACACACACACACACACACACACACA